TTTATTTTATTTTATTTTATTTTATTTTATTTTTTTTTTGGAGTGCCTCATGTAAGCTGGCAAGTGATTTACGGTGTTTTATGATGTTGAGCGGTCATCTTGCACAATTAGATTATTGTTGGTTATCGAGATCAAGTATTTTTAAAGGATCGGTTGGATGCAGTAGATGTACAGAAAGCAGTATCTTTTGTGCTGAAATGCTACAATCATGACGGGGGTTTTGGTACTCGTCCTGGATCTGAAAGTCATGCTGGGCAGGTAGACATTGTCATAGTTAGTTACATTTATAATGATGGAAGAAAGTTTTTTGCTAATAATCACTAATGTTGTTGTCATTTGTTGATTCAACGTTATTCATTTGTAGATCTATTGTTGTTTGGGTACTTTAGCTATCACTGGAAGACTTGAGGATATTGATATTGATAGGACAGGTCGTTGGCTAGCTGAAAGACAGTGTACTTCTGGAGGTTTGAACGGTGAAGAAATTTTGCTAATTTTTTTTCTGACTCATTTTTTTTTTTTGTTGCTATATTTTTCAGAAAAAAATTTTTAAAGGTCAATAGAAATGCAAATTATAATTTCTCCTCTTTTTTTCTTTTGTTCTTTTTTTAATGCATTAAAATAATATTGTGAGAAAAACACTAATTTAATGGGCTGCAACATAATCATGCTGATTATGTAATTGTTTTTCTAAATGACTTTTTTGCGCAGCGTGAAATAAGTTCACTGATTGTCTTTTTTCTTTCTTTTTTTGAAAGATAATGAACAAAGATTATTACAAAAGCAGGTAAACAATAGGTTTTTGGAGCTAAATTTTATTCACCTTTTTTCATTCACTTTTTTTCTATTTCTTCTTTAGATCAATATTTAGAACAGTACTAATATTTTTGTTGTTTTGTTACTTTCGATTTTTCTTTTTACAGTAAATGATTATTGTATTAACGAAAAAAGAAAACGACGTTTCTTTATTAACTTACTAATCATTTCTATTTTGTCGATTATAACATTTGTGTGAGTTTTTTTTTTTTTGTTTTTTAGTCTGTTATAGACAATGCTGAATACAATAAGGGTAATTGAGTGGAAAAAGTGGAAGCAAGTGGTTATAGAAGAGGGTGAACAAAAGTTAAGGATACGGTCAGTTAAGGTGCTTTGTTTAAATGTCCTCAATTTGTTTCACTGACTCTTCTGTCTGCATAATAATTTTTTTTTTTTTTTTGATGGGTCTCATAGGGTTTTTTTGGATCTGGTTTTCATACATGTTCCAAAACTTATAATGGTTTTGGAAAATGTCGCATAGATGAATTATGGCATTTGTTGTTGTATGATGTCAAAATATTAACAACTTTTTTCTTTCTTTCTTTTTTTTTTTTTAATTATGATTTATCTTTGCCAGTGTTCATTTATTTTATCGGTAGGCTGAATCTATTCTGATACCTGTCAGTTTGCATGTCGTTCCACTTCATAAATTGTCATAAAGTAATTTTTTGGTGTCACTTTTGAAACAATAATGTTTCATGTCTAAAAATGTGCCTCGTAGTCTGTTTTTTTCTTTACACTTATTTCCCGGTTATTTTATCTTGGATTCTTTACAGAAGAGCAACTGTTTTAGGACGTCCAGAAAAGCTACCAGATGTTTGCTACTCTTGGTGGGTACTGTCGTCGTTAGCGATAATTCGTCGTTTACATTGGATTGACAAAGTGATGAAAAAGTTTTTAGACATACGACTATTACTTTTTTTTTTTTATAAGGGAGAAAACTTTTATAGAGATGCACAAAAACTATAATTTTTTAAACTCAGTTATTTAAAGAACATTTTTGCTAGGCATCATTACGAAAATTTATATTTGCTTGCCAAGACAGTGACGGTGGGTTTGCAGACCGACCTGGAGATGTCGTAAGTAACTTTTTATTCTGTCTTTTTAAAGATTAAAATATTCCCAATTTTTTTTTAAATGATATTTATCTCTAATTGGTATTACTGTGCTTCATAATGGTACATGGGCATTGTGCTTTTCTAATTCGTTTTAAGATTTCCGCTGACGATAAATTCTTTGTTTCACATAAAGATTTCAATTTCAAGGTATTGTTGCTGTGGAAGAAATACCGATTTTTCTTGATCATATTGCATAGTACATTTCAAAACTTTTTAATGTTTATTTTCTTTGTGAAAACAACGGCTTTCTCACCTCACTTGTCTAATATAGTCTGGTGTTCGTTTACCCCGCCGACATTCCGAATACGATTCGTTGAAGGGTTTTTTAAATCTGTGAAAAGTGATTTTAGGCAGATCCGTTTCATACGGTATTTGGCCTTGCCGGCTTAAGTTTGTTGAACGAAGAGGGTTTGGAACCAGTGGATCCTGTATTCTGTATGACGCGTAAATCATTAAAAACGCTATCAATATGTTAACACTAATGTCTTCGATCAACAATCTGTGATTTATGCTCATTTTTGATCTGTAGTTTTCATTTTTTAATATGCTGTTTTTGTGACTGTGAAGTTTCAGTTGTTAAATCTTTTTTTTTTCGATTTATGCATACTGTGCTCTTAATATCTATAATTGCTGTTGCAATGTCTTATAAAAAAACTTTCGTTAAATGTTGAATTTGAAGCTTGTGACTATGGCTTCTGTAGTAACTGTATAATAGTACGAATAAAATTTACTATACAGTTTTTGACCGCTGGTGCCTGAAAATGCAACATTTGATATAGTAATTTTTCAAAAATTATAGGCAGGCTTTTTGGATAGTGGAAATGGCAGAAAAACAGTTATACAACAGATTATAAAGTTTTGAAAGAGCGTTTTCATTTGAGGTTATTGTTTCAATGAGACTTGTTTACAAGGCTACTAATTTAGGGACGGAGGGGAGAAGTAGTCTGAGTTACTTATTTCACTTATTATATTTAGGGTTTCAGTCGCATCTAGTTCACGGGTTACAGTTTAAATATATTTCTCACTCAGGATATATCTGAAAAATTTGATAGTGGAACTTATAGAATTATCTTTTTTATCCTTTTTATTCTTGTGGTTTTTCACCATAAAATTTTTTTGTACGCAGGTATTCCTATAAAACAATTAAAAAACTTTGTATCAATAAATACCAGTTTATGTACACTGTAAATTTTATTAGTTACAGCAGAAATG